ATTAGCGAAAATTCAAATCCAAAATTTTAGTTAGTTTCTCATTTCATTCTTGTTGTCTGATATCTTATGATATATATTTCTAATTTGTTGTAGAATTTTTTTCATATTTTTCATAAGTTTTTTTCAAAACTTTTTTCATAATTTAAAATTTTTTTTTATATTTTTATTTTTTTGTTTTTTTAATTTTTTAGAAATTTCTTTCAGTTTTTTCCCCAGCATATTATACAACAAACGTACGAATATCATTACTTATTTCACACTTTTAACCCAAAAATTGCAAACATGTGGCAGCACATTATAAGGCGTATAAAAAATAAAGCTACTGTGTTAAGCACATTTTTGGAATTTCTACCATTAAAGTAAGGTTACGTACGATTATATACCTCTCAGACAAGAAGAGGTATTGCATATGTCAAAAATGTTGGCTAATAAAGTTATCATTGACAAAGCTAAGACAAAATGGTACAAGCTGAAACTTTAATTTACGACATCAAAGGATTTATAAAATAAATATTTTTGGTGTTGTTGTTTGAATTGAAATAGGCGACTGTAAATAAGAGCTTGTGACATTTTAATGGATTTCTTATTTAATATTTCTTTGCTTGTTTTGTTGTTGATACTCGTTGCTCGTTGATATGTYGGTGCTTTGGCACGATTTTCCAATAGGTAATTTTCCGCCAACAACGACGCCGTCATGCACTTTTGTCACCTTGTGACAGTTGCTTGACTCCATTTGACTCTTTGCAGCGCGCCAGCCAAACAAACAGGCAGGCGACCGAGYGAACGAACGGCGGAAAAGTGAACGGACAGATGGACCAAGTGACGTGTGGGCGGAAGCGGGTGGCAGACAGTAGGTGAGCGTGGTGCGGCGCGGTTATTTGAGAATCGAAGATATATAAATGAAAAATGTGATCGCTCGCGGCGCCTGCGCAAGCAACTGCGCGAGGCGTGCAGGGGAGGCAAGGGCAATATATAAACTTAATATTATGGCAGACAAAATGCACAAATATACAATTGAAAATGTATTATTTTAAAATTGATTTTTTTTTTTTTTCGATTTTACTTACAGTCTCGACTCATGCCCGCCGAGAGGCATTTCTTAAAGCGACAATATTGGCAACGATTTCGATTCAAACGTATCACCAGACATTTACCATCACGCAGGCAACGATACTCGATTTGTTTTTGTATGCTGCGACGAAAGAAACCCTGCAAAATTAATAGTAAATCGGAATTAATTTAAAATCAAAAAAATAGAAAAATAATATTTTTTGGTTTTTGGTTGTTTTTCTTTTTCAATTGTTTGTGTGTGTTTGTGTCTTGTGTGTGTGTGTGTGTGTGTGTGTGTGCGTCTTACCTTACAACCCTCGCACGAGGTTACACCATAATGGTAGCCGGACGCCTTGTCGCCACAAACTTTGCACGGCACAAATGATTTCGTAACGCTGTTGGAATTGGAGTCCGCTATGGCAAATTGCTGATCTGTAATTGGAGTGCACACGAGTGTTTAATGTTGCAGTTAGTTGATTATAAAAAAAATAAAATCAATTTTAAATTCAAATTTAATACTTATAAAAAAAAATAAAATATATCATCGAGCATCGAAACGGTGATTTGGAAAAAATTGTTTTTTTCAATAGAATTTGATAACATTTAGGCGAAGAAATAGCTCTTCTTTGCAGAGCAATTGATGTTAAAACTTACAGAATGCTGTTTAACCGTCGAATAAAAAACTTTARTCACTCTTTAAGGGGGTATTCTATTCTAGAATTTTGAAAAGTTCGATTTTTTTTCATATACTTAAAGTTTGGACCCTTAAGAACATATCTCCAAAGGATTTTTAAAAATTAAAATTATTTTAATTATTTAATAAAAAAATTTTTTCGTGTTCACTGAGGTAGCGATTATAACAGCATCCTTACTGATTACTAATTTCTTTTGATTTTTGTTTTTCAGACCACCAGGAGAGTCGGGATCAATGTCACCAGTATGCGTCACTTTTTTTACACCTGTCTCTCCGCCAAAAAAAACCTTTCGCGTTGTAAATAACTGCTTAACTCACACTGATTGATAGTTAAAGATGAAACTTATTTTTTTCGATTTGGTTTATGCGCGCAGTTTATATGAACGAGTCCGGGTCAAATTTGATCTTGGCTGTTTAAAAATTATTCTTTCCAAAATAATCCACAAAATGTCCTTAAAAAGCTTCGAAGTGATCTAGTCTATAGTCATATTACTATTGTTTCTGAATTAACTTCAAAGTACCCTGGAAATTTTYACAAAATGATTGAAAAACARGTAAGGAAGGGCTAAGTTCGGGTGTCACCGAACATTTTAYACTCTCGCATGATAAAGTGATAATCGAGATTTCAGGCGTGGTTGTGAACCGATTTCACCCATATTTGGTACATGTCATCAGGGCGTCAAAAAAATATTATATACCGAATTTCATTGAAATCGGTCGAGTACTTCCTGAGATATGGTTTTTGGTCCATAAGTGGGCGACGCCACGCCCATTTTCAATTTACAAAAAAAAAAAAACCTGGATGCAGCTTCCTTCTGATATTTCTTCCGTAAAATTTAGTGTTTCTGACGTTTTATGTTAGTCGGTTAACGCACTTTTAGTGATTTTCAACATAACCTTTGTATGGGAGGAGGGCGTGGTTATTGTCCAACTTCTTCCATTTTTGAACTGTATATGGAAATGCCTAAAAGAAGCGACTCTATACAGTTTGGTTGACATAGCTATAGTAGTTTTCGAGATATGTACGAAAAAGTTAGTAGGGGCGGGGCCACGCCCACTTTTCCAAAAAATTACGTCCAAATATGCCCCTCCCTAATGCGATCCTTTGTGCCAAATTTCATTTTAATATCTCTATTTATGGCTTAGTTATGACACTTTATAGGTTTACGGTTTCCGCCATTTTGTGGGCGTGGCAGTGGGCCGATTTTGCCCATCTTCGAACTTAAACTTCTTATGGAGTCAAGAAATACGTGTACAATTTTTCATCATGATATCTCAATTTTTACTCAAGTTACAGCTTGCACGGACGGACGGACAGACGGACAGACGGACRGACRGACATCCGGATTTCAACTCTACTCGTCACCCTGATCACTTTGGTATATATAACCCTATATCTGACTCTTTTAGTTTTAGGACTTACAAACAACCGTTATGTGAACAAAACTATAATACTCTCTTTAGCAACTTTGTTGCGAGAGTATAAAAAAGTTTGGAAACGCAAAATGATAGAAAATAAGTTTTTCGAATCCCCAACAACAGGTTTGGAAAACTTTTTTCCTGTTCGCCAGGTTTGCTTCCACCAATTAGACGAAGATTAACTAAAAAGTTGTAACGATATTCATAAAATTTCTTTCGAAATGAACCTGCGAATGCCACGATTATTCCACACAAAACACTGATAAGTCGGTGATCATTCTTGAAGCAAGAGGATTGTCTCAGTGGATATATGAAAATATTCTCTCTAGAACAAAATCAGTAGGCYAGTTTAATTCATAATATAATATTAATTACATTAATTACTTAGACAAATTCGAATTCTTGATTTATTAAAATTTTACTTTTATACGATAATTGATATTCAAGGCGTTATATAAGTACAACAACGGCAATTTCTTCTTTCCAATCAACTAATTCAACTCTCCATATTCCAATCATTATCATTATTCCCGTTTCCAATTAGCAAGTGAGATTCGTGTTTATAAATAAAACCTAATTAATCAATTGGCAAAGTGCTAACCACTTCATGTAAGTTTACTACTACATAGATATTCATATATCAATGGACATACGGAAGTACACACGGAAGTACCTGTAGTAAATGTTACTCATACGCACTGTCCGCTGCAGGGGAAAGCTGCGAAACACTAACTCGCTCATGTATTACTGCATATCCGTTAGCAATGTGCTAATACATGAACGTGATTTATTTTCCACCATTAATTTTCACTTTTCATTTTTCTTCCGCAATATTCTCATCTTCCGTCTTATGCGTTTGCTTTAGATCCGCAGCGCGTGCGCTCTCGCTAGTTATTGATATTGATGTGTAATAATTCACGTAGACGTTGCTTTCTTCCAATTGCTTTTCTTGCCGCTAAGTTATCGTTATTTTTATTGTTGTATGCATACGCTGCAATGGATGTTAATTGTCATYGTGACAGGTGACTAATGACAGATCAAAGATAGCAAGCGTAGCAATTGTTTTACGCACACATATGCATTTATGCGATTATTTTGCCCTTTTATAGAGGCAATTTCGAAATTAATCTGCTTTGGCTTAAGTTTATTTTTTTTGAATCTTATATCAATGTTGCGTTTTGAAGAAAAACGGATAATTTTTGTACTTTTCTAAACACTCTCTAAAATCAACCAAGCTAAGAAAAACGAAAGATATCTTCATTGTTTAGTCTGAAACATCGTCACGATTAATACTGCTTGTTGTCCGAATAGTAAATGAAGTCAAACTCAATCAGCCCAACTAACAGTGGAATCCGCTGTCATGGGATGGCATTGTTATCATAGCTGGAGGAAAGTTTGAGGACACTCTCTGCGATATCGTACAAAGGCTACTAGGTCTAGTTAAGGGATGTTGTAGCGGAGTTGGGCTGAATATCAACCCCTCAAAGACGACCATCGTTCCATTTATGAGACTCGGACTCCTCGGACTCGGAGATAGAGACGATTAATATGTTCTACTAACTTGGTCTCACACTAGAGTGCACTCTGCGGCGGAAGCAGCATGTTGACCACTAGATTTTTTTGCCAAGGGACAACATTACCAAAAGTGTAAACTGTTGTTTAGTCAGCTCAGAAAGCATCCAGCATTAGTTTCTCATGAGTTTCCTCTCCTCATCATTTCATGATTTTTAAACTTGGCAAAATATGGAAACAACATTTAAAGTAAAACCCACTCGCGGCATATACATACATATTTACTGATTTTTCCTGCAGCGATATTCCTTCACTRTTAATTCCATAAACCAGCCACAGCCACGTGTACGCGTGCATGCCGCCTGCGCTGCTACTTAATTCGTGCCACAAAGTAGCATATCAGCTTTGCCCATCAAACTTTTCCTTGGGGTACTTTTCAGCATTATTGCTGTTGCAGCTGTAGTAAATCCCACTTAAGTGGCAAATTTACTATTTAAGGTAAACCACGGAAAAAGCAAAACTCGCAACAGCGAAGGCAGACTCTTGCGCGAATGGAAACACAATATCCAGTAGGAAAATCGCAAATCACTGGTTGATGGTTGAGTTGATGCCATTTTGATGTGTTTGGTATGCGCAATGACACTCAGGATTCACACAATAAATGATTTCTTCTATTTTTTCGAAATTTGGAGCGTTAAAATTTAAACTAATTTTAAAAGCTCTCTTCTGTATCGCTTCTCACTAGTTTGTAATACTATAAATGAAATTTCTGCAAGAGGAATTTTGCAAACTGTGAAGCTAAACGAAAGTTGCCTCTGTAGTTTCAGTTTCCGGAATAGGCCATTAAGTATAAACTTGCACTCTCTTAAGATCAGATTTTTAAACCATTGTCGGAGAAAACTATTTATCGATAGAATGTAAATCAAATTCGATTTGGTAAGCCTTTCCGATTGCTTGGTGAGTGAACTGGTTTCTACAAGAGTTTCAAACCAAACTCAAATCTTCGCGTTTACTTGGTGAACCTCAAAATTATTTAATTATTAAAATTAGATTACAGTTGTGAAAATTTTCTTGAACTACCATATACACCTCAATAATAGGAGATATGTCCTACAGGGTATGTTTAACTCTCATGTTATATGTATAAGTATATGAAAAGCTACGTACGTTCGCATAACATAGTTCCCTGACCAATACGCATATACTATATGTYTGTTGATGCCCATTCAACTATAATTCTGTGCAATTTTTCCTGTCCGTAATTGAGCCTGGGAAAATTTTTATAGCAAAACAAATATATGTGTTATATGTAAGTTGGACAGCTTCGTTAACAAGAAATCGATAGAATGACCGCTGAGCGGAGTTTCGTATTTGCTGCACAGCTATTTTTTTTTTTTTCACGGCTACTCTGCTATGATAGGAATGCAATGTGAGATCTCTAATGAAACACAAGTCTTTTTGTATGGTTGTACAAAGTACATACATATATAARAAGAAGCGTCCAATAAAGTTAAAGATATACATCTTATTAAGTAAACTACACATGCACGCGAACGAAGCTCAGAAATCAGTCGAATAGCTCAATCCAATGATTACTTTAACTTCCTAGTGGTTAACTTTGGCTTTGTGAAAAATCGAGAACTCCTTCGCTATTTTCATAGAAACAAACATACAAATCTCATAGAGAGAGACCAAAATGCGTGGGTACGAAGAGCTTGACAAGCTCGCCAACATGTAATGCTCGAAAAGTTTTTGAAAAAATAGAGCGACTAACAGAAGACATACTCTTGTGGAACCCCCAGCGCTG